TTTTGTAATGTCGTTAGTGTAATGATTGTATTTGAACATCACATTGGCACTTATTTTTACTGTTTAATTTGATTTGATTTGAGCCATTGTTCGATTTTCTCTGTTCAGAATTCTTTATGTAATGTCTTTTTTGGGTTCATCAGCAACAGGTGTGTGTTATTATCAGCAGGTGTGGCTGACTCCAGAGTGGGAACCTCTCCTGGGCCTAACACTGCACAAAGATGAGAACATAGAAACAGAAAAAATGAGAGATTCTCCCAGTGAGGAGAGAGAGACCATTGCAAAGTAAGTATATAAGAGAACGAAAAGAAAGTGACAAAAAATAAAATAAAACCCAGCTCCTTATAAAAAAAAACAATTACTCAAAAAATGCTCAACAGGGAAAAAAATATCAAACGAAACCTCAAATTGAAGAAATTGAGGTTCAAATACAATTAAGTATGACACTGTAACAAAAATATTTTACTTAATGGTAGCATGTTAACTTCAGTCATTGTGATTCATTGGTACAGTATTGACAGTTTAACACAAATATTTCTTTGGGAAAAGAAAACTACGGAAACACTGACTGAAGTGAAGCTTAGCAACTGTTTGTTTTAATTCTTTTGCCCACATATACATGTATACATAGATATGTTTTATATTGTAAATGATAAGGGTAGGCACCCTTTGCTTTGTTGACAGCGCTGCAAACTTTGCCTTCTCTCAATAAGCTTCATGGTGTAGTCACCTGAAATGGTTTTCACTTCACAGGTGTGTCTTGTCAAGGTTCATTTGTGTAATTTCTTGCCTTCTTAATGGGGTTGGGACCATCAGTTGTGCAGAAGTCAGGACTGTCAGTTATGTACCAACCAACTTTTAGAATTCATATTATGGCAAGAACCAATCAGCAAAGTCCAGAGAAACGATAGTCCATCATTATTTTAAGAACTAAAGATCAGTCAGTCTGAAAAATTGCTAAAACTTTGAATGAGTCTTTGTGTAGCTGCAAATACCATCAAGCACTATGATGAAACTGGCTCAAATGAGGACCACTCCAGAAAAGGAAGACCAAGAGTCAGCTCTGGGGCTGAGGATAAATTCATCCGAGTCACTAGCTTCAGAAATTGCAAATTAACAGCACCCCAGAGCCCAGATAAATGCCACACAGAGTTTGAGTACCAGACACATCTCTACACCAAATGTTCAGAGAAGACTGCGCAAATCAGGCCTTTATGGTCAAATAGCTACTAAGGAAAAGCAAGCAGAGGAGATTTGTTTGGGCCAAGAAACAATTTGAGTATCCACATGCAGCACAGCAAACCAGTGAGGGCTGTGGTTTGCCATTTCTACATCATTGTGGTTGCCAAATCATTTTAATATGACCTGCCTGACAAAGTGGAGTAGACCAAAAGATCCTCAAAAGCCAGACATCATGCCGTGATCCAAGGTAATTCAGGAACAAATGAGAAACAAATTAACTGAGATCAGTCCGGAAAAGGTTATAAAGCCTTTTATAAAAGCAAAAAAAGAAGCTTTGGACCCCCCAAGTGTTCATGACTCCAATATAAGAAAGAGACTGTTGGCAAAAATGGCCCGCATGGCAGTGTTCCAAGATGAAAACCATCGCTAAGGCAAAAGGAACAAAGTCTCATCTCAATTTTGCCAGAAAATATCTTGATGACAGGGTCGCCACCAAAATTGACCCCCCCCCCCAGCTCCCCCTGGCAAGTCTGTCCTATGTTAATAATTTTAATAAACATAAGCACAGAGAAAGACACCCGACAATGAGTTGAAAGATTAGCTTATTTATTCCTACATATACAATTTGTCATTTGTATTGTCACTTTGTATGTTCCTCACAATTTCTCATCATCCTCCAATGTGGTTGAATTACAATTTCTCCTTCATGCAAACACTAGTATTGGTGTCATCCATTGGTGAGAACAATGTTAACATGCTGTACAACCAAATTAGTTCCTAGAACTTAAATTATGCAAACTCATTGCCTCAAAACAAAAAAAACCCAAACAAAAACCCACAAGTAAAACTTGATAACCAAGCTAGGACAATTTATTCATGGAGTACCCAGTACTTAGAATAATTTGATTTTTCTGAATGAAACCTATCCACATAGAAATCGAATGCAACTAGATCACATGTTTTATTATCCTCGAAATTAAAGACATTTTGTAATGCAGTTGAAATCAGACCAACTTTTATTTTCAAATGCAAAAAATATTTATTAGTCAAAATACTGGACACATTAATGACAAACAAACAAGTATATTCCCACTATTGTAGCTTGTGTTATTTAATTATACTTTAAATATTATCAAATTCCATCTATCCATCCATCTTCATCCACTTTATCCGGGGCCGGGTCGCAGGGGCAGCAGCCTAAGCAGAGAAGCCCAGACCTCCCTCTCCCCAGCCACCTTCTCCAGCTTATCCGGGGCAACACCAAGGCGTTCCCAGGCCAGCCGAGAGATCTAATCTCTTCAGCGTGTCCTGGGACATGCCCGGAACACCTCACCCAGGAGGGATCCTTATCAAATTAAATTTTCATTTGTGTTAAACAATTTAAAACTTTAATAACCTTACAAAAAAAAACCAAAAAAAAAAAACCAAAGTCTCAGATTGAATTATTTTGAACCCAAGTTTAAGCAGTTCTGCTCAGTCCAGGCATTACAGCCTGAAAGACTGTCATGGATTAAGGTAATGAAAATGCAGTGATCGCAGCAAGTTCAACTTCCCTTATGTACAGTGGCAGTGAATGTGGGATGGAGATGCAATGGTCTTGAATCTGCAGGCGACTTTGTTCACTGAACACCATCTGTGATGGAGGGCTCGTCTCTCCTGGTATCCTATAAGGAAACAATCATATTCTTTAGAATGCCACAGTACATTTGCTCTTCTTAAAACATTTTTTTCCTGCATTTGTTACAGAACAGACCTCAAGATAGACAATCAAGCTGAATCATTGCACTGTTACAAAACATCCATCCATTTTCTTCCATTTATCTGCAGTTGGGTCCCAGAGGCAGGATCCTAAGCAGAGAACCCCAGAACTCCCTCTGCCCAGCCACCACCTCCAGCTTATCCAGGGGAACTCCTCCCAGTGGGACATAGACACGTAGACAAAACCTGCTGGTACCCTTTGGTCAATGAAAGAAAAAGTCACAATGGTCACAGAACTAACTAATCTGACTAAATAATAAAAATTCTATGAATGTTAACCAATGAACGTCTATCGTTCGAGCGTGTATCACACTCAACATGGACCAGAGGAAGTGAAAGGAAAGATGTCTCAGGAGATAAGATAAATAATCATAGACAAGCATGTTAAAGGCAAAGGCTATAAGACAATCTCCAAGCAGCTGGATGTTCCTGTGACTACAGTGCACATATTATTCAGAAATTTAAGATCCATGGGATTGTAATCAACCTCCCTGGACGTGGCCGCAGGAGAAAAATTGATGACCAATCAAAGAGACAGATAATCTGAATGGTAACAAAGGAGCCCAGAAAGACTTCTAAAGAGATCCAAGGTGAACTTCATGCTCAAAGCACATCACTGTCAGATCGCACCATCTGTTGTTGTTTGAGCCAAAGTGGACTACACAGGAGATGACCAAGGAGGACACCACCAACAAATCACAAAAAGGCACATCAGCTCCATGTTCACAGAAGGAAAAATGAAGCATATCAAGAAAAGAACACTGTCCCTACTGTGAAACATGGAGAGGGATCTGTTATGTTCTAGGGCTGCTTTGCTTCATCTGGCACAGGGTGTCTTGAATCTGTGCAGGGTACAATGAAATTTCAAGACCATCAAGGGATTCTAGAGAGAAATGTGTTGGCCAGCGTCAGAAAGGTTGGTCTCAGACGGAGGTCATGGTCTTTGCAACAGGACAATGACTCAAAACATACAGCTAAAAACACCCAAGAATGTCTAAGAGGATAAAATTGGACTATTATAAAGTCGCCTTCTTGGAGGCCTGACCTCAACCCTATTGGGCATCTTTGGAAGGAGCTGAAACATGCTGTCTGGAAAAGGCGCCCTTCAAACCAGAAAATACTGGAGCAGTTTGCTCATGAGTGGACCAAAATACCTGCTGAGCGGTGCAGAAGTCTCATTGACAGTTACAGGAATCGTTTGATTGCAGCGATTGCCTCAAAAGGTTGTGCAACAAAATATTAAGTTATAAATTAAGTTATTAATAAATTTTACTTCCTTACTACTTACTAAATCTCTTGTTTCCCCACACTGAAGATTAACAATATATTGGAAAAGCAAAATACTTACCACTCAGTTGACATCTTTCTGTCCAACAGCTCCTTTTCTAGACTCAAGAGTCTCCAGAGTCACCAGAGCCTCAAAGTAAAAAGCAAGAGGGAAAACCAGCAAATTATTTAGAAGCTGATTTGATTCTTAAAGGCTGTCCAGCCATTATAGCTGACAACATAGAAACTGAATATTAATCTCATACAGTCAAATTAAACTATAGCAGGGGTTGGCAACTTTTCTGATGATGAGTGCAATCTAAAAATTCTTCAGAAGTCAATGTGTCACATCAACCAACTTTTTTCAACTAGCCAACCTTTTTCCTACATCAAACCCTGCCCCTGGCTGTGGAATGCAGGCAGTCGTAAGAAGGGAAACTTGGAGTTCTAAATGTCACAACTTGACAGTTGTCTCTGCTTTCACGTTTTTCAGCTCAATCTCCCTGGCTCTGGCCAGCTCCGCCCATAAGTTCCAGCTCCTCCTTCAGATGAAACTCCCTTTCGCATTTCTCTCTCTCCAGCTGGAGATGAGCCAGATGAACTCGTAGCCTAGCATCCTGCTTTGAACCTAAGGACTATCGAGAGTGGCTCAAAATGAGGCAGTGTCATTGGCAGTCTCCTCAGGCAGTCCCTGAGCAACAGGCGTAGACACAAACAGTGCTATATTTTGATCTGGCAACAGGGGAACATGCTAAGATGCTACACCATGCTCAGCCAACTCAGGTGGACTGGGAGACATTTGCAAGGCCAATATCCCCTTATCCACCAAGTCAGACACCAGAGCAGCTTTTAGCTCAGCTTTATGCAGAACTGTGGAGACCCCAATCCCGTAAAATGATGCCACCTCATGCAAATCGTTTTTCCTACAGGCATCGAGCTGGGCAAGCGACGGGTTAGCCGTGAACACAAAAATATCTAATGTAGACATTCAAACATATTTAAAAAAAAAAAAAGAAAACCGGTCAATAGCACACAAGCCAGCTACCCTAGGGCTACCGATACCAATAAACGAGAACCTTCCCCCAACACACACAAAGACAGGAGAAAAATCTATAACAACAGGGTTAACCAATAAATAAAAATACCACTGAACCTCTCCCCAGTCCTACCTACCCTTGAATGCTAGCCTACCTAGCTTCTGGAGTGTACCAGGCTCGAGGCAACTTTAAAGGCAAACTTTCAGTGCTCAAAGCACTGAAAAGCCTACCCCCGACAGGGACCTAAATCCCCACCCGGGATTACTCCGAAAATAACAAAGGCAAAATAAAAAACGAGTGCCTGAAGGAAGAGCTTACACTCAGCTAGACACTCCCCTGTGCTAACTGGGGAGAGCGTCCCAAATACACCAAAGTTAAACAACGGACCCAAAACCTGATACCCAGCTATTTCAGTTTCTTTCATTCAAATTCCGTTGTATGCAACTAAAACATGTTTGTCTACTTGAATAGAAACAGTTTACAGTTCTATAATTAGCCACAGATTTTACATTTTTCTTCAAATTTGTTTAGAAATATTCCACTTAAACTACCCTTAAACGTACTATTCTCTTAAAGATAATGTCAAGAGCAAGAGGTGGACCTATCAGCATTGCCTAGCTATACACCAAATAGAGTCACACAGGTCAGAGATGGACAATAGTCACCTGAGCAGGACAGTAGGGCTGTGTGATTTGACAAAATATATCAGATGACAGAATTAAAACATCTACCATTTAACATTATACTCCAATTTGTTTTGTGGTGTCAAAATACACTGTTTACAGCAAAAATAAATAAATAAATAAAAAATAAATAAAAAAAATTCATCGTTTGGATGGTCACCACGTGGATGCAGGCACAGAATACCAGCATGGCCATTGAGGATGAGGCAGAACCAGGTAGCTCCAAACAGAAGGACAAGTCAAAACAACTCAAGGACCTTAGTCCTTGGGTGGCTGTAGCTCAGGAGTGTAGGTGCAGGTAGAGCAAGTCTACTGATCGGAAGGTTGGTGGTTCGATTCCTGGCTTCCCCTAGTCTGCATGCCAAATATCCTTGGGCAAGATACTAAGCCCAAATTGCTCTCCGATGCATCCATCGGAGTATGAATGTGTGTGAATGTTAGCTATAAAGCACTTATAAAGATGTGCTTGTGCGAATGGGTGAATGCACAAGTTGTGTAAAGCGCTTTGAGTGCTCAGATCAGTAGAAGAGCGCTATATAAGAACCAGTCCATTTACCATTTAAAAAAAAAAAAAAAAAGTAGATCAGTGTTTGAGTGTTACTGGGGGTTTTTGGCTTGTGTTTCGTTTACTTTAAAATAAATAAATACAGTGTGAGAGGTGGTACAACCTTGACGTGAACAACAATGACCTTAAAAAAAAAATAAATAAATAAATAAAGGATGAATAGTGTTAGTGTGTCCCGTGCTGTTAAATCTCAGTGTAAGTTTGTATCCATAAGTTTAAAAATTGAGTGCCGTTTTGTCTCTATGAAACGTACGTACTACATTGAACAACATAGTACATTAAACCACTTTAACTGTTCTGCACTCCACATTTCCATTTAGCTTGTGTTAATCCCTACCACCTTTAAGTTATCAACACTGTAGTTTCGAAGGTGGCTTTTATTTTTAAATCAGGTCTCAAGGTCTCTTGCCATAATACTTTGTATAAACACATAATGCAAAACCAATCTCCAATTTGACTGTACTTCTCAAATTGGAGATTAAGCTTGACACCAGTTAATG